GCTCCTGCGGTCTCGCACGGTTGCAATTTCGTTCGTTCCGACTTTCACTGGGGAGAGAGAAGAAAAGCCGACGTGCACAAGGCGGGCCGAGGGCAGAGGCAAGGAACTCTTTTCATGCGCCCATGAAATTTTCGTTTCGACGCTGCGTCCTGCGTCTGCAGTTTCCTTCCGCCGCTTCATAAAATTTCGAGGCGGCCAACCGACTGCTCGTTCGTTGACTCATCGAGACAGCCTCGACATGAATCCCGAACGGGCACCACCAAAAGCCAGTTCGTAATTTCAATGAAGATGACTCGTTTCGAATGCTCCAGTGGCTACGGCAGGCGAGCGCTTTCCTTTCCATCCGAGGTTCGATGCCCGTGCCTGCAGGCAGAGGCAAGGACTTCTGGGGGCTCTTCATTGCCTGGCTGAGGGCTTCCCCCTTCATATCTTGCCCTGGACGTCCATCGCCACCTACGTTCTTCTAGTCAACAGCTTCTCTGGAACGAAGCATCGTCTTCGCCACCGACACGCCGCAGTCGCGGAAGAAATTGACGGCAGATTGAATTCGCATGACTTCAGCACCGCCTGCCAAATTCTGCCCGTCTTGCGAGGCGAGAAGAACAGTCGGGAGGACCTTCGTGATGTTAACAAGGCATCCGCTCGAATCTGCCCGAGACATTCAAATCCACAAGCCTTTGATGCGCGAGAGCGGCAAAGTAGAAAAGACGCTCGCTCCTCAGTGACGCAGTCAGAAGAACTGTCGCCTGTCACATGGGCCTAGAGTCGAAACGAGGCCAAGGCCGAGAAACGAGGACGGGCCACGCCCACTGCCGTAAGGATGCCGCGAATCTTTTGGGAGACGCTGTACCTGCGCGCGTTTCTTATCTTTCGCAACCGCAATCCGTAAAACTCACGCACGGACGCACGTGCCCGCCTTCTTACGGGGCAACGGACAGCTTCACGCCCCCTTTCGTGTCCGTCTGCTGCGTCACAACTGCGGAGCTTCGCCAAAGCAACTCCCGTCTCGCCTCACATTCTAAAGAAATGCGATTTCTGCTTGGATATAAAACCAGAAATCGCGTTCCCCTGACTGAATTAAGAGACGCGCGATGTGGCCCACTCCCGCCACTTTCTTCCAACAGTCGGAGTGCGAGGACGCCCTTTCCACGTCTCGCTCCTACGAAACTTTCCAGAATGGGATCCGGGATTCGTTCGCCGACTCTCCTGCGCCACAGAAGGCGACACGCATTCATTATTCAACGAAGACGTCAAGAAACACTCAACCTCGCCAAAAATATATGGAAATATACTTTATCTTATTCAAACTCACGCCTGGCCTTCGAATTCCCTGCAGAGAAATGCATCGGCCCTGGTAACTTCATTACGCCCCCCAGTTTACGAATTGCAACAGGAACACACGTCGACTGGCGGTCAATACCAATGACGACATCTCACGAGCCCATCGCTCCCATGCAAAATTGTCGGCCTACGTCACACACCGTTATTCGGGCACCGAAAAGCTCGTCCGACAGTCTGCGCCTACGCGAGGTCCCGCGTCTTCCGGTATGCAGAAGTCACGTGTTTCCAAATTTTCGCTTTTCCGCTGTGACTAAATTCCTCGACGCTAATTAATAAATTAGGCGGGCCGCTGGGTGGGCCCTCCAGAAAATGGAACAAGAATTAAAACTTTGCGAAAACTTTTACTTCATCGGTACGGCGTGGCCCTGCTCTGACTCCAGTGCCGTTCAATTACGCGTCCGCCATGTTGGTATTATCGATTGTAGGAATTTAGAAAGTTCCAAAAATGGCGGGTATCGCGTGGACCGACGGGGTTATTGGCCAAATGCAAGAACGAGGATCCTCTTCTGAATACGCGCAAACACCGCCGACCGCAGAGCGAACCGCAGTTTTGAGAAGGCATTTAAAGATCATCCGAACTGCAACCTTCCCGGCAATCGTGACACACAACGAAATCAATAGGAGGTGGGGCTGAGGCCCAACGAACGCTGTCTAGGGCCGACAGCACTCGCTCCAAGAGCGGGCGCGGAGAAAGGAACTTGGCACTTCTCGATTCGAAAACAACAGCACGTGCTTGAGACATTGCCACGTTATTCAATAAACCCAATTATGTATC